TATAAAATAGCAATAAATAACTGATAGAAAATATATTTAAATTTTTAAAATAATACAAAATGTTTTTTTATTATTTGCCTGGCATGAATTAATAGGCATTTAGTCAAATTGCTAGTCATTTAACTAAATGTCTAGGTGGATAGTGAAATTGCATAAACATTAAATTCTTTGACTGAATGCCTGATTTGACTATATGCCTACTACGTATAGAATATACTAGAACTATTATAATATCCTTTGATTATTATTGGGTATCATTTTTGTCTGTTGAAATTTTCGTTTCGATTTATTTGCGGGAAGACTTATAGCGACCGAATACATAATCAAAGGGTCCAAAAGGAAAAAAAAAATTCGAGCAAAAGACATGATATATATTATCTGTCGCGTGCGTATTTCGATTGGCCTTTTCGTGGAAAAAACGGTCGGTCGTTTCGGCCATATTATATACGTGGTCCTCTATATGCGCGAGATAAAAAGAAACGGGCGATCCGGTCTCGTGGGATGACTCTGGGACGAAATGAGGTTGCGAAAGTCATCCTGCCGCGAACAAATATGCACATAACGGTGGCTTCACAATAACACTTTTCTGGCGGTACTGGTTATCTCTGAGATGATGCGCCTATGCTCTAATGGAAAAGAACTTTTGTATCGCGATCGTGGCAGTTTTTACGGGGTTCTGTACACTCTAAATAAGAATGTTTGTTATTTAAATCCGACGTTTTCGTGTCCCGCTGCACATGTAGTAAGACGATTTGTGTCGATAACGCTCCAGTATCGTGTAGTAAGATGTGAAAAAGTATAAATAAAAACATTGTTTTGACTGAAGTTATTATGAAAATAAAACGAGATACTTTTAGTCGACTTTGTTCGTTCCCCTTAGCTCATTAATATTTTTTAATTTTTTTTTATGGGCCAACTTCTACATATATTTTACACTATTGTTTAAAAATACTATCTTCAAATAACCCCATGAAATCCTCGTTATAAACACAACGTCATAATTGAGAAGACAAAATGATAATATGAAAATTTTATGAAATATAATACATTATGTTCGGTCAAATAATTTAGCTTTTGTTGTTCACGTTAAAGAGAAGGTACAAAGAACCTAGAACTACATTCTTAGAATTCGCAGCCTCGGGAAAATCGTCTCCAAAGGATCTGTATAAGGGACTCGTTTGTATTGCATTTTCAACAACAGACAACATAATTAATTTTCAAATAATAGCATTGAAATTTTAATGGAATTAAAAATAAAATATTAGTCGACCAGATTTTCATTGTTACTCCTAACAAAATAAATAATCCCATGTGTAAAACATTTGAGTTTATTTTATGAACTTTTTCATAAAATTAAACCATAGGATAACAATATCTAATAATGCAAATACTTGAATAATATTTGATCTTATACTTTTTCATTATTCCTTCCAATCATTCCGCCAATATGACTACCACCAAAACCATACGAAACGAGCTCGATGTAACATCTATAAATCATATAAATTTAATTATATATTTGAGTGGAATCCGTGGATATCTCCTCTATGTAATTAAATACATAATATATTATATATTAGCTGTTTATAAGCAATGCTATCAAAACAATTTAAGGTATAGTACCAACAAATACCATAATATTATATATATATATATATCGTATATATATACCGCTGCGTGTCATATAAAAGGCTTAACGAGAGATAAATAGAAGAGAAGGGTATATATATATATATATTATGATCCAAAGAAGAATATTATTAATTTCCAACGAGGCATACGGACAATAATGAAGATTGATGTGGGAGTGACGTTACATGATGAAACAATAATATTACTGGACACGTCCACCGGAGATTTTTAAGGTGGTAACTGATGGAAGCGCGTTGTATAGTGGAACGTGTGTACAGTGCAAGAGGAAGAGGGCGAGGCGATACACGGGAAATGGGTTTAATAAATTAGGACTTTAATTACACGAACAATAATGCCCTAGCTATACTGCTACTACCCTCAGAGTCATAGACTTGAATAGTTTTGAAATAAGTCGATCCCGTGTACGAGAACATATATACATTATAATACGATGATGAATAACCCAGGTAGCAGATTTTCTTGATAAGCTTCTTAATGCTCTTGACTTGACTATGAGATCATAAAACAATATATAAGAAGGATAATGTATAGAAAAGGGTTAATATTTTCATATACTTCGTTTGCAAACACAGTCAACAATGCAAAAAATACTATTTTTATTTTATTATGTCGAATACGCACTTTTCAGTTGTATACTTCTATCTATGATTATTGAACTTTGTATTTTAATGACCGTAAATAAATCGGTTTCAGATCGAACTTAGATGTACAAGGTAACGCCAAATATAAACAAACAATCCAATGAGTTAAAACCCGTTTATTAAAATACTTTAAATAAAAAACACTTTTAAAAACATACACACAAACAGATCAAAACAATCCAACGTATATCGTAGTACTCACGTACCACGACTCCCTTCGTCTCTTATTCCTTTTGCCTTATATCTAGTTTACAATTCAGCTACCTCGGCACTTTTGTTTCACTGGCCTACATTACAAATATGCTGTTTGACTTGTTTATAGTTGTCAGCTATTACCACAATTAGATAAAATGCAATAAATATACAACGTGAAAACAAAATTATTGTAGCTGTATTAAAACAGATAAAATTAAGTTGTGAGGGGAAAATCCATCGATATGATATGATATGATATCGATATGATTAGTTCCAAAATAATAATATGTCAATTAGTGATTTGAATTTAGCTTTTAAAATTTTCAAAATAATATTTACTATACCGTGTATACTGTATATTTAATGAGAAAATAAAATAATTTCAATTCTATAATTCATACTTTATCGATTACCAATGTCGATATAGTACAATGATGGAAATAGCTTGCTTTGTGAATATGGCTTAAGGTCTCACTGGTCGTATTTATTATTATGAACTCCTAATTTATTTATTTATTCAACATAAAAACGGCTCAGGTCCCGGAATTACTGTCATATTATTATTATATTATGTCGTGTGTAACATAAACTGTCGACTGCATCACTGGGGAATGAAAATGAAGCATTAACTTTTACGATCAGGCCGCACAAAAGAAAAAACCGTAAACGGGTTTACGATCCAATAGTGAAATTATATAGAAACCTATATTTTTTTTTAACTTAGCATTTCATTCAGAAAAATGGATATTATAACGTATATTTTTCTAGCCGATAACTCGCATTTCCTATTTTATTTGAGTCTCGTCAAACTCCACTGCGCTCATAAAATCTTCTACAAACGTTCATACGTGCGCCAAAATATGTATATCAATGCGCGTTAAATTCTAAGTTGTTCGGTTATTGTAGCTATCGACATTGATGTTACTTCAATATATATTTTGAACACACATACACACACACACATATATTTATGGGATATTTAGCGAATATATTGTACACATTCTGTGGTACCGTCGAATAGGTTGTGTGCTGCAGGTACGCGTGTATGGCAATATGTTTCTCGAGTAGTCAATATTTTATAGTGCTAACCTCAAAAATGTGAACGGAGAAACAAATACCTAGACTAAATTGTCTTTGCAATACATTTTTTATAAACACTCACAGTAGTCACCTATATACTACGGAATGTTGAAAAATAAAATAAACGAAAATACACGTTTTACTCGTTGACGTAAAAACTTTTAAGTTTATGTTCTCTTGCTCCGCGCAAAAGACGCGAACAAAGAGCGAAATTCTTGAATAACCGTTCGTCATAATATGCTTATTACGGTTCACTAGAATGCTAACTAGAAACAGCTACCAAGCCTTTACATACCTACCCGAGGTAACTTGCCATGCATATAATATATATATACGTGTTACGTGTATATACGCATGTCATTAAAATAAATCTAACATAACGTTATGCCTTCAAGAAGAACACGGCGAACTTCATTATCCAAGTACACAGACACACACAAACGTATGTATATAATGTGAGTAGACAAAGTTTGAGCTTATACCGTGTACAATAATACACTGTATTGCGAGTCCGCACTCCGCATGACACGTCTTAGACAAGCAAATGCAAACTCTCTTAACTAGCGTGGCGTGTGTACCTACCAGTATAGCGGAAGAAAATCTCTAATGGACATTTAAGCGTTGTACAGAAATTCAATGTTAAGCACACATTAATGTATCACTGGTTTATTTCAAGAGTATTTATTAAGAGTAGTAGTAGCAGTTGTAGAAGTAGTGGTTCAACATATATACTTATATTATATTATGTATAATATCACCCACGATATTTTGTTATTATTTATGATTATTTACCGAGTGATATTATAGTAATGGATTGTAATAATGGAACCACAACTAGGTATCCAGCAGCGATCGGGGCGCCGTTATAAAAATTTACGTACCGCTGGCAAGGTCAGAGACTAACTACCGCAATGATATTTCAAAATTGCTCTTTATATAAATATTGTTGTACTTACACTTCAATGGCTTTATTCCAGTTTATTATGTAGCCGGAAAGGGTAAACGTCTCGACGTTGACGAAATGTACATTTCCCCTTTCTGAACCCACGTACAGCCACTTGCTACGGAGTGGAAGGTGTATAACTGTAATTCTACAAAAAAAAAAAAATAATAATAATAAATGAGATACTACATTATACACAATATTTATATAAGATAATACAATCGAAATCGATTTTGAACCTAAGTAAATAGAATCGCAATCCCACATTTTTATATTATAGTATAGCCTTGTGCCCTAAAAATAAATATGTGGATATAGTRTAAGTACTTGGAGCGAATTTGGTTTTTGATTTGATATACTGCAGAAATTGCCATTTTGAAGACAAAGAAAAATACATTATTCTTACTGTGACCTATTTATAAATGGAAATAGTTAACGATAAGAACAATAAACTGTATTGATATTTGCATAATAATGTTTCAAGTTAAAATTTTCAGACGTAGTATACTAGCAATAAAAAACTACGTGTAACTTGTTGTTGACGAGTTTTTCGGAAATTCTTAAAAAGTGATTTCAATAAATTCAAAATTATTATGTATAATGGTTTTTATCGAGTAATAGTTTAAGAATAAACAAAACATTTAACTCAAACATAGACCTAATAATGTTATATATTTCAACATTAAATAGATTTGACGATTGGTTGGAAAAATATATGTGGTACAGTAGGTATTTTATATTAAATAAACATATTATTATTATGACGTGTTGTTATTGATTTATAATATAATTATAATTTATATAGTAAAATTGTTTTTTAGGGGATGTACCCCTTACCTTTCTCGTTGAAATTTCAAGCTGTGGACAACGTCAGCTCTTTTTTGTCTGAAATTCCATAGGTGTAAACTATCGTCGGCAGTTACTGTGATTAACGCTCCTTCGTTCATCAGAAACTCCACCTGAACAACGGCCGCCTCTAATTCGTGTCTAACCTGTGCATCCACTCCAGGTCTTCCAATTCTGTATTATACTCTCATTAAGGAAAATCGTGGTGTATATAATAAAACAAAAGTACAAGATAAAAGCATGACAATAACAGTATTTATATAAAGCTTAACTTAACATAAATCAACGCAATGTAGTTCACGGTGAATTTCAGGCAAATATGTTATGATTTAATTTTAAATACCAAACACAAACATAATGTTTTATTATGTTAATGACATTTTTGACAAATAAATCGTCCCGTCTTCGTGAATCCCATTACATCGTTAAATATTATAGCAGAATTATCGAATCGACACAAGTTTATAATACGTTTCTACCTGATTAATCCTTTTAGGTACATCACTGCGGTTTTGTATAAATTCTCCGTCAGACGCATATAATTATTATACTCTGTTCGAATAGAATATAATAATTATAATAGCTATATCAAGTATGAATGTTTCAAATCAACAATGTTTTCGTACAACAACAAATCGCCATAAATATTCCTCACAAATAATATAGGTAACACGTCATAAGCCTGAATACTGCAATTATTCCACTGCCAATTATATGATACACACGGCTAGTGTCGAGTAAGAGGTATAATATAATAAACTCATACACTTTAAATATATATCATATTATGCATTACAACACTATCGGTTTAGGTACGCGATTATTCATAAATATCACACACGCATATTTTGTTCTTGTGGTACGATGTACGAACAAGAGTCTTTACACGCGCATATATATATATGGCAGATTGTAAATTCTTCCGGCATTTTTCCATTAAAATAGTGAGCATCTAGTGACGGAAACGTTTAAATTCAAAACGCTCGTTTTTTTCGTTCACGCGCCATACTCACACACAATATTGCATGCATGTACGTATAATACAGCGGAACATAATAGTATGGACCATAAGAGAGAGGCGTGCGAGGGAGAAAAAAAATAGCCGACGAGAAGTGCGTGTTGGCGTATGATGGCGGGCGAGGGTAGGGGGCACTGTATAATATTATATACAGAAACTTTTCACCGAGCGTCTCTTTAATGGATTTCTCGTCGAAACGAGAACGCCTCTCATCCCGCGGGTTGCACATAGTGGCCACAGCGCAGGCCCTTGCACAGACATATTGTATAATATACGCATC